GAATTATGTAACTGAATTATTTATATCTAAGTTTGATATCTGCATCTTTTCACATCTGTTGCAATTAAAATTGTAATTTTATTTTTATGCAAAAACTCTGATAAGCTGACAGTTACTTTAAAATAATATTCACATCTTGAATTTTCATTTTTTTTAGCAACACATTTCATTCCACCTTCTATCATTCTACCCATAGAAAGATTACTAGTGTTTTTTTTTTTTTTTTCTTCAAATTAATGCATAACTTTTCATTTGAATGAAAAGGTTCATACATTAATGTGGAAACCTCTATGTTTTCTTGCATTTTCAGTTTATTCCTATTAAAATCAATTGACAGTTATAATCAGGTATAAAATTTAAAAAACCAGAGGAAAATACTTGGTTTTCAGTCTGAGGAGAGAAGAGAAAAAGATGCTCATTGTATCATAAAAATATTTTTTTAATTTTTAAAGCAAAGGAATATATTTTCCTAAATGGAAAGTAAGATTAAAAAGCTTTTTGTTAATAAATAATTATAATTAATAAGCACCTATTTAAAGCGTGTAAATTCTTTGTTAATTTACTTCAAACATCTGTTACTATTCAAAAATTAAAAAATTTTGCAACTTTTAAGATATAAAAATACAGTTATGGCTCTTGAACATTATTGAATTATACTATATGGTTCAAACTGATATAAAAATTGGTCATTCCTGCAGGTCATCCTTATGTTCTTTACCATAACTGATCAAACAAACGTATAAAATGATTTGTGCAAAACATTTTTTTTTAAATCATAAGAATATAAATCAATATATATGGTGTTACATGGCTATATATCAAAATATAGTTTTAAAGTTTTCTCACAGGACTACATATTTATTTAACATCAACTGTGAATAAATAGCTAACACGAAAGAGTTTTCTAAAGTTGCAATTAATTTAATAAAAAAATTCAGGCAAAAAGTTTCAGAAAAATCTTATTTATTTGTGATTGATATTAATAGAAAATAATATTATGGATACATCACATATAAAAAACTTCATTAAAAATCTGCTATCATTGTAGCAAGCCCCCACACTTTTCCTTTCCTTTGCACATTTTTTGTAGATAGTTTTGTTTCAAACTGATGATTTGTGATAACTTTTTTATTGCTATTTAATTAAAAAAAAAAGGAGAAGAAGAAGACTGTATTTCATACAGTATAGTAGATCATTGATTACCCAATTCTTGTCAGACTATAAGAAGCTCAAATAATATATTGCCACATTTTTTTGGTATTACTTTAGGCAAAGCATTTATTCACAAACGTACATTACAATACAACAGCACATTCACTCTGAAATATCAATATTTTATTTTAAATTTAAATTTAAATAAAAATTTTCAGTAAAATTAAAATTAAAATTTCAAGCAAAATAAACAGAAAAAAGGCATTTTTAAAATTATACAATCAGTTACTGATTTCTGTTTGACTGAATACCTTCTTCTCAGCAAATAATCTGAAACGACGAGTTGAATTAGCTGCCTTAGTCTTTCAGATATCAAAGGATAAAGTCTGAACATTAGTAGTTTAAACTGGCTTTGATTTCAGGCAAATGGGATACATACATGTGTACTTCTGTAGTTTTCTCCATGAATAGCATGAATATAAGGCAGTTTCCCTCAGAAAGTTATCCATAAAAGCATTCCTCACCTTAGGCAGCTACTCTTAAGTGCTTTGTTTAATCAAATAAACCAAACTAACCTAACCTTTCATTGGACTCAAACCAAGTAATTATAATTTTAAGGGCATGAAAAGCTTCTTCTATTGTACGAGCTAGAGTATTTTTTATAACATCACTCAATTCAAGGTCTTTGCATTTGGCTTCACTTTTTTCATTTTGGAAGGTTATGATTACTTTATCATCCATGAATGGTTAGAATGATTATGGGAAAATAATTATTATAAGTACTATTAGAAAGTCAATAAGGGTACTTGTGTATTAATGCAACCACCTAATTGAAATCACCAAATTTTCAGAATGGGCCAAAATTTGGGAACTATGTGCATAACCAATCTTCAACCAAACATGCTCATAACACTTCCTCAGTCAAGCAATGTGTTCAAGCAAGCATTTTCATATGTATTCTTCTTTGTTGCACTCCAAGTTCCAAGTTTTTTTATAAAAAAAATGATGATATTTTCTGCCTTAAACTTAGTTTTAAAATATGACCTTATGGAATTTGCCAACAATGAAAGAAACTGGGATAAAATTTCTGCAGGAATATAGAATTTTGCTGAAAAGGATGAGGAAATGCGTTTCTTCAATAGTCACTATTATTGAGGATTTCATGAAGCTCAGTCCCCACAATTCTGTTGTTACTAGTGCAATAAAAAAACACTAGTAACTTTTTTTAATGAAAACAGATTACTGGGTACTTCAAGTGGGGAAAAAAAAATTTGAAATGTTTCAGATTTTAAATTACATCCAAAGGGGCCTTTTTTTAACATTTTGTGTGTTACATTTATTTATTAAATATCCCGTTCTTCGCACTTAAACCATAAAATTCAGTTCAACAGCAATATCGCAAGATAGTTTTAAGATGAGCATATCCTTAGAATTTCCAATACAGAGACTCACGTGCTGGAGATAAAAATGTTTTTTTCTGTACAAAGTTGCCATTGCTCACTTTGAAATCCTTGAGTTTGTTAATCAAAAATTGTTAAAGTTTTACAAAATAGGAAAGCGATAATAAAACAAGTTCCAAATTTCAAATTTGGTCTTCCACATGCTCATATTCATAGGAGGATTAAGTCTTTCAAAATTCGATGGCTCTATGTACCATTGTTTTATCACAATGCGAGAAATATATATACATTTATGCAGATTTTTCATTATTCAATTTCTTTAAATATAACACAGGGCGATAATACTTTGTGGTAACAGTTTGAAAAGTGATTCACTGTTTGTAGTGAATCGACACAAAAATCGCAAAACGAAAACAATAGTCCTTCAGGAACAAAGCCCCTTTGGACTAAAAAAGAGAGAAATCTGAAGAAGAATGTAAGAGTTATTATTTTAATGCATTTTGTAATCCTTATTCAATAATTCTTTCAAATTGCTAAAGTATGTTTTCTTTTCATATGTCGATCATGTTTACCAACTGACGATAAATATCAATAGTTTGGGAATCTTCCTTAAAAAAAAGGCACAAAAACCACTAACTTGCACTCAATAAGTAACTTTTACATTTTTATCTGCAAAAAATCACCAAACTGCACCAAGGTGGTTGCGTCAATACGTACACTGCTCGACATTAAAAATGCAACACCAAGAAGGAGTGGTCAGAAAGCGATGAAATTTGGAAAAAAGACAGAGACAGCAAGCAGCAATAAGTGATCTTTATTTCAAAATGATAGAATACAGAGCGAGAACGGCGTCGGCTCAGTAGGATGTACGACCACCGCAGGCAGCGATGCATGAACAAACATGTCTAGGCGTAGAGTCAATAAGAGTGCAGATGAGGATGGCTGTCCATTCCCTTTCAACCATTTGCCACAGTTCATCTTCTGAATGAGGCAGGGGCAGAGTCTGCAAACAGCATCCAATCACATCCCACACATGTTCATTTGGTGACAGGTCAGGAGAGTACGGTGGCCAGGGAAGCATCTGTATACCTTGCAGAGCATGTTGGCAGATGCGAGCACTGTGTGGTCGAGTGTTATCCTACTGAAAAATTGCATTAGGCAGCCCCTGAAGGTAGGGGATTGACACCGGCCACAGTACATTATCCAAGTATTGCTGGGCCGTCATAGTGCTATGAATACGAACTAGAGGTGACCTGGAATCGTAGGCAATAGCGCCCCAAAACATTATGCCACGTTGTCGTGCAGTGGGGTGTTCCACAGTTACGGCCGGATTAGATGTCTCCACGTCAAAACCACACGTATGCAGTGACTGTCACTGGATAAACAGAAGTGTGACTCATCTGAAAACACGACGTTTCGCCCTTCTGTCATCCACATCGCTCCAGACCGGCACCATTCTAAACGTTGCCGTCTGTGTTGTGGGGTCAATGGCAGTCTTTTTAACGGATACCGTGAGTGCAGGCCACGTTCAAGTAATCAATGGAAAATGGTTCTAGTCGATACGGGAACATCCAGGGTATCTTGCACATGCTGCAGAATCGCAGTACAAGTGACTTGCGGGACCGCCACAGCTTGTCAGCGGATGCGTCGATCCGCGCGTGCTGACGTCACTCTGGCTGCACCTGCACCCCTGTTTCTTCCCACATTTCCTTGTTCCAAATATGTTTGCATAGCCGATGCACCGTGCTTGCATCCATATGGGTATCAGCTGCGATTTGACATAAGGACTAACCTGCCCTTCTCAGTCCGATAACCATACCCCTCGCAAAATCATCTATCTGCTGGAAATACCTTTGTTGATGGCCACCTGGCATTCTCTCCTATTACACATATCCTCCAGGACATAAACCAACTTTTCGATAATTCGTCTGGCAGAAATAACGACATGAATATTGTCCATTCTGCACATTCCTTCCCTTATATCTTACTTCACGTGCGTCGGAGAGCTGCGCATTTCACATCATCGCATAATTCAGTGGCGTGCGTCTACTCTAAAATTTGCATAAATTTTCTGACCACTCCTTCTTGGTGTTGCATTTTCAATGTCGAGCAGTATAAGTATCCCAAGAAAGGAATATTTTGCTTCAGAAAGGAAATATTTGAAAACTCATATCACCAGTCAACAAATTTTATTAAATTTGGATAAACAATATTCCAGATAATCTACTATATGAGTTATTATTAATTATGCTAGATAAATAATAAATTTAATACCATATAGCAAAGTATTAATAACTTCAAACCATTATTTTTATTAGATATGAGAAATTAGAAATAAACTAAGTTTAAATGCAGAAAATTGGTTATTTTAGTCATAATTGCATGCAAAGCATATTTAAAAAAGTAAAAGCACAAAGCTATTATTTCATAAAGAACTAATTTACCTGCCTGGTAAAAACGCAGAGGCAGACTTCTGTAAGATATATGTAAATTTGAAAGCAAAAGAGTAACAACTTCTTCATGTGTCTGGAAAAACAAAGAAATAATTATATATGCATAGAAATTAATAAGTTTCTAAACTAATTTCAGTAACAAAAATTCCTATCTCAAAATTTATTTACTGACTATAATTGGAAGCTTCTTCTAACAACAAATGAAATGCATAGTTTCATTTGTATTTGACTACAAGAAATTAAAAGACAGATATGGAAAACAACATGTATTATTATTTTGTCAATAGTCTCTATAATACTGATTAATGAACTTACTGGTCCAAGGCAATAAGAAAATGAATTTCTGTCATTCAATTTGAATAAACCAGCATTTTCCCAGCGACCTACAGCATATTAAATAAAAAAAATAATAATTAATTACTTTAATACCATTATAAGCATTATATAATTATCATATCTTCGTCCATGCATGTTCTTGTGGTATAAGTAGTAGCATGTCTGGTTAGCAACTGAAAGATTTGTGGTTAGAATGTCAATAAGGGTATAATCGATTTTACAGGTCTCCTGCTTCATAAAAATTTATACAGTCAAAAGTCTTTAATCCGGACTCGTTGGGACTTCGATTCCAGATTATCCATTTTTCCGGATTATAGATTAACGGTTTAAATCTGGTAGGATGGCATGCAGAAATTATAAAATTAAAAATATGAAACCATAATTTATGCAATAAAGAGAAATTATGATCTAAAGGGTATCAAAATTTACAAAAAAAAAAAAAAAAAAAAAAAAAAGCTTAATATTCATTTGTTTACTTTATTAAACATTTCTTTTAACGCGTGCATGTGTGAAGTGTACTCATGATATTTATAATGACGAGGAATTTGATTTAAATCATATCAAGGATGGAATACATTGAGATGAAATACTACATTTAGTAAGGAATTATAAGCTGAATAAAATAAAAACATCTGCCCTGAAGATAAGGGTAGTGCTGACAGAGCAGCATGAAATTGATAAACAGATTTCCAAATGGTTAGAGAAACAAAGGATATGCCTTTATCCATTTTTTGCAGCAATTCCACTTTTTGTTTGATGGACATCGAAACATGCTTTCGCTTTGTAGATCCTTGAGCAGCTCCAGAATCGGAAATTCTTTTTGACATAATCGAAAGTTCAAGCTTAATTTTATAAAATTGCTCTAACAGTCTGCAAAAAATAATAAGCCAGATCCAATTCGAAGATTAAGGAACAACGCAATCGGCAACATTAACTGAAATAGATAATTAGATATTTTTAGCTTAGCTTATACCGTCCGTTACACATTAACCCTCTGAGCGGCATGGGTTTTCGCTAAGAAAGCACAAATTTGCCAAAACTACAATGAGAACAAATTATTTTTTTGATTTTAATGTAAAAACTCTCCTGGTATTTCACACCTGGAATTGCGTACTTTTGATATATTGCCTTAATTTCTTTGACATATTTTAATATGCACGTATATGTACGTTCTTACAGATACCACAAAATATTCTAGGCCGTATATATATGGCCTTGCTGCCTAGAGGGTTAAACGCACATGTGTAAACATATTATGCACATGCGTAAAAGTATTACGCGCACGCGTAAGTTTGTAGCTTTGAGGTCCGGATTATGGGTGTCCAGATTAATGCTCCAGAAAACTTTAACTGTTTGTTAAGGAAACACAATATAAATAACATTCACTACTTCATAAAATTATGATAAACTTTCATTTTGATTTTAAACATAAAGTGATACTTTTAATTAATAATTTAAACTCACCAGTTTTTTTCAGGACTGAATCTTGTATTAGAGTAGGAAATAACATCTTTTGAGCATTAAGTCTGCTCATCATCACATCAGCTAAATCAGAGAGTTTTTCTAAGGATCGCACAGTCAGAGGCTTGAAATAAAGTATGCCCGAACTAAGTGGTTTGATAAAACCTTGATTCAACATTAACTGTAAAAAAAAATTTTAATGCATTCGCTGCATGAAAGTAACACTCTGTACTATGAAAAAGATTCAGCATGAACATTATAAAATGATAATGGGAAAAAAAATTCTTGAATGCATACCTAGAGAAAGATTTCACCTAAGAAAAAAATTAAGCTGATGCTTATTTATGTGTACACATTTTAAGTGTTGAAAGACACTATGAAATACAGCATAAACAAAGATTACTTCATTTAAATCCAGGGGGGGGAGGAATACTTAAAAAAGATCTATGAATGCAAAAATCAAAAATACTTATCAAAAATTTTCATAAAAACAAATTACAAAATCAAGTAATCAAGTTTTACAGCTTTACCTCATGCAGGAAAAATGTAAAAGCATTCACAGATCTGTGATTTCTTTTTAAATCAATCTTTTAATAGATGTCTGAATATCATTTGTGTAATTTTTAAATAAAAATAAAATTTAAAATACACCAATAGCTGCTTGTATAAGCAAATGAAAATACAGTTAATGAATGAAAACATAAAAAACTAATTTCAAAATAACTTTAAGCCATCCAATGCTAGTAGTTAATCCTTAGATAAAAGTAGTTACAAAAATTACAAAGCAATATTTAATTAATTGTCAAATTTCATTTAAAAAAAACTACAATTGGAAAATGTAAGACATTTTGACAATATATTCCACAACAACAGCAAAATACATTTTTGATTATATTATAGCAAACATAAATAAGCATGGTAAAACAAAGAATAATATACTTTTATGACCTACAGGACAACTGCAATGATTCACAAAATAGTACACACTTAAAAAAATACATTGAATGACCAAATTTATCTTTTCATCATGTCTTTCATTGACAACACATATATACACAAATTTCTAGCAGAAAATTGGAAGGCATTATGCTTTTTGTCACAAAATTGTCAGTAAAATTAATATGTGATCATCATTTTGATATAGAAAATTTATTTTTTGTTGAATGAAATAGATTCAGAGCATGGACACTTTTTTTGTTATATGATCATATTCAATGATTAAATGGAGTACAGGACATTAACAAGTTTATCAACCTACAAATATTTAATATCAGGTTAAAAAAAAGGGTAGTATTCGGTTTTGAGGGCCGTAAAAAAATTGCAGCGAAAATGTATGCGCAAAAGCGCCAAATCTAGCAAACGCGCCCATTTAACAGAGCGCCAAATCTAGCGTACATGTTGATTTCAGATTGCGTAAGTTTATATAGTTCTATATTTCTTAAGACACCATTGACATACTAGTTTAATTTTTAAATCCTTTTTTTTTTTATTTTAAATCCTTTTTTGATATCCTATGGATTTAACAATTTGGGAATTGCCCATGACGAAAAGTCGGCAATTTTGCGTAAAGTGCAGAATCACCCACTGCTTGATGGGTTTTTAAGAATTGCACATACTCGGTATCCATTTGCACATCGAGCTATTTTCACTTAAAAAAAATCCTAGAATTGCACAAAAATGGCCAAAAATGGCACTGTGCACACCCTTGACTTTATCTATGTACACATTGACCTATTTTCACTTAAAAAGTAAAAGAAAATTGATAAAAATTCAATTGTTTTTACCCTTGTAAAAAGCGGCAAAAAAATAAGTGGGCGATTCTGCACTTTACCGAGAATTTTTTCAAAGAAAAAGCATCATTCATTATAAAAAATTATGTCTGAACAAACAACGAAATGAAATTATGCTTTAGCGATAACTCAGTAGCGAAATAGTGATGCAGGCATCCATTCAGTTAGGTTTAGCAATTTTTATATAAATTATAATAATGATCTGAAATAGTTATTTACTCTTATGCTTCCATTCAGTCATGTTTAGCCTTTTTCATATAAAGATATAATAAAAAAGTATTATATGAAATTAATCTTTCATCTAAATTAAAACATTAATCTTAGATAGTTATTTACTATTATACTTCCTTTCTTGCCGCAATTATTAGGGTTGCTGCAATTATTTTTGTCAGCATTGGCATCAACAATAGTTCGGCAATTTTTTACAGCCCTCGAAACCGAATAGTACCAAAAAAAGTTTCTTTTGTTTCATAAACAAAGAATTAGGTACTTCTATTTAAAATAATCTCAGATTAATTAATGTATCAAGAACTTTCATGAATATTTAACATGACCAGTGAAACAGCTTATTTGCACTATCATTAGTTAGGAAAATCATGGAAACTTCTGGAAATAGATCTTGCATGCAACATTAAAACCATCTATGTCATAAAATTTGCTGAAGAAAGTTTACACTTTAATATAATATGTACTCCTTCACCTTCTATCTTCTTTAGATATTTCTCCAAAAGACTTTTACGTTTTCTTCCTAGCCTGAAACATCTACATATAAAACGAACAATTCTCGAAAAGACAGACAGTGAAGCAGCAAGCACTTTATTTTTGAGGGTATAATATATCATAAAAACAGGATTTGAAAACTTGCAGCTCATTGGGAAGAAAAGTATATTACATAGGCACTAATTTCAATGAATGAAATATTTTATGAAAAATTTCTGTAGTTGTTTAATTTTTATTCTTAAAAATAAATAGTTAGTAATAAAAGCAAAGATTTTCTTTGGATTATTTGACTGTTTCATACAGCATAATATGCAGGCCATTACCCATGTTTTTATGTAGTTTATTTTATTATACAGTACAGAGTCTTTAATTCGTACGTCCATAATCCAGACCTCAAAGCTACAAACTTTCTGCGTACGCATAGATGTTTAATGCGTTTACGCATGCACATAATACTTTATGCATGCGCATAATACGTTTACGCATGTGTGTTTAATATATAACGGATGGTATAAGCTAGGCAAAAATGATCTAATTATCTATTTCAGTTAATGTTGCAGATTGCGTTGTTCCTTAATCTACTAATTGGATCCGGCTTATTATTTTTTGCTGACAGTTAGAGCAATGTTATAAAAAGTAAGCTTGAACTTTCGATTATGTCAAAAAGAGTTTCCGATTCTGGAGCTGCCAAAGGATCTACAAAGCGAAAGCATGTTTCAATGTACCGCTTCCAATAGTGAAGAAAATGACAGAGAGGTTATTGAAAATGAAAAAATTTTGATCGACAAGTTAGTCAGCATTCTCGAGACAGCAATTATGGGACTTGAACAGTGGAACTTTGTAACTGAACAAGAAATTATGTCTGTTTATAGAATTAAAGAGAAAGTATTAGCACATAAAATGAAGCAACTTAAGCAACTTACATTGAAAGAAATGTTTAATAAAGTAAACAAATAAATATTAAGTCCTTTTTTTTTTTTTTGGTAAATTTTGATACCCTTTAGATCATAACTGCTCTTTATTTCATAAATTATGGTTTCATATTTTTAATTGTATAATTTCTGCATGCCATCTTACCAGATTTAAATTGATGATCTATAATCCGGAAAAAGCCATAATCTGCAATCGCCGAAATCCCGATGAGTCCGGATTACGGACTTTGTAAAGTTTGTAATAAATTCGGCGATTCAAAGCATTTTGTCGAGGACTATTGCCTGACTGGAACTGTGAGAGAAAAATATAAATTTGCAAAGTTTGAGGATTTATTTAGTAACTACAAATTGTTTAGAAAATTTGCAAGAGATATTATGCAAACTGTGAATGAGAATAAAAAGAATATTGGTATTGAGATATAACAAAGCAAAAAATCATACTGAAAACAGAAATAATTGAGGTAACTTATAAATTTAAGATGAATTTTGTAATATAAAGAAGATTTGAATCATAATAACTAATTGAAAGTAAAACTTATAAAGATTTTACAACAAATGTATGGTTTTAACGACTTTTCCTGATATTTGGAAAATTGATTCTTGTTCCTAAATCTACAGGTGGACATAGACCCATCTGTTTATTAAAGACCCATGAGAAAATCCTAGATAAACTCATCACAGAAAGACCTGAGCATTTTTTAACAAAAAATAATATTTTCAGTTCAAATCAATATGGCTATCGAAAGAATATGTCTACTGATTTAGCATTATACAATGTGATCCAACAAGTCAGAGAAAAGCGACAAGGTAAACATGTAGTCCTGGTTTCCTTCAATGACCGAGGGGCATTTGACTATTATCTGGTTCTTCCTACTGTCTGCATCTCAAGAGATCTACTTGATATAATTAAAATTTATCTGGAGTATAGAGAATTAATTTTTCTGGGCAACTCTAATACAATTATTCTTCATTATAAAATAGAAAAAGGCTGTACCCAGGGTTCATGTAGTGCTCCCCCATTCTGGAGTCTCATAGCAAATAAATTACTGCAAGAAAATGTACCTGATACGAATATTATCTGTTATGCCGATGATATTATGGTAACTATTACAGGAGACTCCCTCGGAAAAATAGAGGCTACTTTTAACCTGCTTGAAAATGTTTTTAAGAAATGGAGTACTGAGCAAAATATAGAATTTAATATTGAAAAAACAAATGATATGTTTTTCCCTTGGTTATGGAGAAATGTTAGAACCCCCAGAGTGAAATATGATCAAAAAAGAATAAAATTTGTGAATACCTTTAAATACCTGGGTATAGTGATCTATGATAAGTTGAATTTTATAGAGCATTTTAAGTCAATACAACGAAAGATAGAAATTTTTAAATTATATAAAAATACTTTTACTTACCCGTCACTCTTTCTGACAAAAGCCTCTACCCTCAGGGATATTTACAAAAATGTTATTATACCGAAAGTTCTTTATAGGTATTGGTCGCATGGGGTGATCGAGCAGGGGAGCTGATCTAAGACAAGGCAGAAATTAGAACTCATTGCAGATGGGCCTGGACACTGGAATTACAAGATCATTTAGAACAGTCTCCGACAGAACGTTGCGTGCTCACTCGCTGGTGTACCGCCTCTTCTCACTACAATTTAAATTTACTTATGACAAATTTTATCTGAAATATAATATTAAAACAGAAAATAGTCTGTGAAGATAAAGCAATTACCAGCAAGGCTTTTTTAGAACATGATCTGAGTTCAAGCCATCCTAGCGAATATTATGGTATATCCTACGATAAAGACTATATTTCAGCTGAAGAAATTGAAATTTATACAGATGGATCAGGGTTTGTAGAGAGTATCGGCTGTGCCTTTGTTGTATTTTTCCCTGGTATTGAAATTGATTACTAAACGTTTACTTTAAAATCAAGAAATTCAGTTTATCAAGCAGAATTGTTGGCAATTAAAATGGCTTTATCCTGGATCAAGGAATTATCCATGGGGTATTTATTACATTAATTTATACTCAGATGCCTTATCTGCTCTTATGGCGCTCTCCTGCCCCTTTCAAAAGAATAATATTGTTAATGAAATTTAGCATATATATTTAGAACTATGAAAGAAGCATATTTACATTGGATCAAAGCTCACACTGATCATGGGAATGAGAGAGCGAATGCTCTAGCGAAAGAAGCCGCCCTGGGGGTGTGAACCAAAAAGGTTTTCATTCAAGATTCAAAAAAGAAGACATGCACTATAATATATGACAAGCTTATTAGAGACTGGAAAAATTTACAGGATCTCTCTGAAAGAAACAAAAACTATCTAAAATGTTTAAAAATTAGCAAAAAAATGGGAATTTTTGGAGATGCAGATGTCAATCAAATTTTCACTGCACATTGATGCTTCCTGCTTACTTAAAAAGGTTCCACCTCCAGGAAAATGATAGAGTACAAAGTCTGTAATCCGGACGTCCATTTTTCGGAATGATCTATAATCCGGACCTCAAAGCCACAAACTTTTTTTTTGCAATGCGTGTTTAATGCTACGCATGCGCGTTTAGCACAAAAAAGCAACTTAAACAACTTACATTGAAAGAAATATTTAACAAAGTAAATAAATAAATATTAAGATTTTTTTTGTTGATACCCTTTAGATCATAACTGTTCTTTATTTCATAAATTACGGTTTCATATTTTTAATTGTATAATTTCTGCATGTCATCTTACCAGATTTAAATTGATGATCTATAATTTGGAATCGCCGAAGTCCCGGCGAGTCCGAATTAAAGACTTTGTACTGTATTTGGGAAATACAGCATTCTTTTACAAATTGAAATTTGATGGAAATCCTGCATTCTATCAAATTTCAATCCTGTTTATGAAGGAAATTGAAAGGGTTACTTCAGCAAACTTTTAAATGATAAAAGAAATGAAGGAGAATTGTTTTAGAGGACAAACATAAATTTGATATACAATGGAAAACTAATCTATGAAGCATAAAGTTAAAATAGCTAAGAAATGCTTGCCAGAAAATAATTCCAAACACTAATCAGTTCTTAAATTCTATTCATATATATGTGTGTGTGTGTGTGTATACAATACAAAGTGCATAATCCGGACGTCCATTATCTGGAATGACCTAAAGCCGCAAACTTGCGCATGCGTGCAATGCGTTTAGGCATGCGCGTAATGCGTTTATGCATGCGCATAAAGCATTTACGCATGCACGTTTAATGCGCATGTCCACTATACATGCGCATAAAGCCAGTAAAGTGTGTACACATGTGCGCTTCTGATAGTGAAGAAAGTGACAGAGAGATTATTTAAAACGAAAAAATTTCGATTGACAAGTTAGTCGGTATTCTCGACACAGCAATTACAGGATTTGAACAGTGGAACTTTGTAACTGAGCAAGAAATTATGTCTGTTTATAGAAGAGAGAATTAAAGAGGAAGTATTAGCACAAAAAAATGAAGCAACGTAAACAACTTACATTGAAAGAAATATTTAATAAAGTAAACAAATAAATATCAAACTTTTTTTTTTTTTTTTTTTTTTTTTGGTAAATTTTGATACCCTTTAGATCATAATTGCTCTTTATTTCATAAATTACGGTTTCATATTTTTAATTGTATAATTTCTGCATGCCATCTTACCAGATTTAAATTGATAATCTATAATCCGGAATCGCCGAAGTCCTGACTTTGCTGGTACAAAAATTGCTTTTTTGGATGAACTGCTGTTTAAATTCCTGACTTTTTCAGATTTTGGGTAAAATATTTTAATTCCCAGACTTCTTTGCTCAATTTTTGAATTCCCTGACTTTTCCTGGCTTTCCAGGAAGCCCAACAATCCTGTTTCTTTTACTATTGATAGTAACATGGTTAATATTTCAGATGGAAAAAAAAATCTAATATCACCAGCCCATGACCTCAAGTAAACTGTCACTTCCAGTTAATCATTTGTAAACAAAACCTAATTTTTTATTTCAATAAATAGAAAGGTCTGTAATATGAAATTTTGGACTATTTTTTAATATGTGAAATTGGCCAGGTGTAAAAACTGGTTTTCCTAAATTTATGCCAATGTAACCAACGTTTGCTCTTTTTTTTTTTTACTAAATATTATATTTATTGAGCAGTTTAATAACACATAATTTAATTAGTTTTTAATTAAGTAATATTATTAAGTGTTTGTATTTAAAATAAATATTTTGAAATTAATACTGCCATTTTTTTTCTATGTTATTTTTATTGTATCAACAAACCAAAATTAATTTTGATCTTCAAATATTTGTAAGAAATGCTCGTTCAATTGCACAAATATGTTATGTTGAGTGCTGCAAAACTATAATAGTAAAGTACCACTTTTAATTGTCAATTAAAAACTGTAATGGGCTTCATGCACCATTTCAGGTTATCCAAATGTACCCACAATTGAAAAAAAATTTTAGATGAATGCAGAAAGCTTAAACACAGAAATTTTTGGAAGTAAGGCAATTTTAGATGTATAAGAATTTTAGATGTATTTTAGGAAGTATAAGAGTAGGGCACACAGATGGGGGGAGGGAGATAAGTGCCCCAGGCCTCTGTCTGGGGAAAAGGGGCTCCAAAGAATGTTAAGGTTTTAAATATATGCACCTATATGTAGGAATACAAAAAGGATGAAGCTTAAGAGTAGGTTGTATTAAAAACGTGAAAGTTTATTGTGGAAAAGGACTTCAAAGTATCTGTCCCTAATTTATATTTGGCATTAGAGTTTTTTATAGTGTATGTTTCAGTTGCTTCTTATGAGAAAAGTTTTTCAAAGAAGTTGATTAACAATGAGCCATGTAAGACTTAATGGTTTGGTATTCCTTTCCAGTAAAAATGCAGTAACTAAAAACATTAGTTTTGATAAAGTTATAAAACATTTTCAGAAGTCAATGTTCACAATAAGCTGCTTTAAATATTTATTTGCCTGCTATATGTAAATTGTTTTTTTTTTTTTTTTCCCCTTTAGGTTCCCCTCCCCCCCAAATCATTTTAACTATTTAATTTTAATTAAATGTTAATTTTATATTTGTCTTTACATTTTACATGGTGATCATTCTAATGGGGAAGGGGCTCAGGGATATTGCCATCCCAGGTCTTGATAGCTGTAGGTCCCCTGCTGTAAAATATTTATTGCAAACAAAAACGTCATCACACACATACTGATAGGCAGATAGACTTCACTGTAAAAATGACAAAAATAGTAAAAACGTGTTTGGGGGACCCTAATTCATGCTTATTCATTGAAAACTCATTATCAGTTTTTTTTTTTTTTTACCAAAAACATTATGTTCCTATACAGGTCGGCAGGAGGTAAAAATAGTAAAGAATACGAAAGCGTGACTGATATCGGGGGGGGGAAAAAAAAATATTGCTTATTTTCCATCTGAAGGAAAGTTAAAAATGGCCAGCATTTTAGAGGGGAAAAATTAACGAAGAAGAAATATCATCACATGGTCTAAAGTAAGAGAGAAAATTAAATGTTGCAAATTAAAAATAATGAAGCTAACATAAAAAAATATTGTTTCTTTTCTAACTGATTAAAATTCAATCAAGATAGTACATAAAAAACTTCATAATTAAAACAGTCTAAAAATTAAAAACATTGCATGTTAAAAAGCCACCAATAAAGTTTGCCAATTCTGGCAGCAGTATTTTCTGATTAACTGTATCCCTGGTTCTAACTTTCAATGGAATTGCCCGATTTTAGTGTCAAGTATACACAGACAATAAACAGCCCACGTATGTGTTTGAGTACACATGAATTTTCATACTACATAATTAACAGTTGTTTTGCTAAATTGCACCTTTCAACTATAAAAATGTAAATATTGTCACAGATATGGAATTTTTTTCCCCTTGCTTCATAAAATTTTTATTTTTCATGAAATGCTTCTTTTTGTTTCAATTTATGAATAAAAAGGACTTATGGATCATAAAGATAACCAAACAAATATTTTTTGCTGATACATAAATTGGCAAATGAGTTAGCAACTTTTCACTGGGGTGAGGATAATTAAAAAGTACCATGGTGACTAATCTTTCAATTTTGCAACTGACAGAGGTGACTAAGAAACATGTCTTCATATATCAATAGATGTTTCAACTTACTTTGAAACTTTTACTTAAAGATGCAACAGCCTTTTCCTTAGGAAGAGATTCAGGGTATCGAAATACTTGTGTCATTCGTTGTGGTTTCTGAGAAAAACCAAGTACAGTTTGCAACATTTTTGAGCCACATCTAAAATGAAAATTTTAATATACTACATGATAATAATTCTATAAGTCAATTATATTTTACAAACAACAGATAGAAATAAGTAATAAACAAAATCATAAATAAATACATTCAAAGGCTAGAAATTGAAATAAGGACATTTATAATAAGAAATATTAGTAGTATAGGATATTATATTTACTGACAAATATAAATAAGTTTAAAAAAACAGTAAAAAAAAATAAATATAAACTTTATTTCAAATTAAACTTTTAAAAATAAAAATAGGTACATAAATTAATCATGCTAAAACTAGCTGAGGATAACTCATACTAGTGCGGATCATATACCTAAAATTACTTTACAAAATGGGGTTACCTAATAAATTATTATCAAAAATTTTTTTTTTTTTGAACTAAGTTTTACACAAGGAATAAAGTAATTATCATCCTGCATCAAAACTGAGCAGAAACAATTTCAACAAACGATCTGTTAAAGCTATGAATAAATTTTTTAATACTTTTATATAAGAGGATCTTTCTTTATGTCTTCTGAGACTACTAGATTTGGAATGCATAATAATCTTCTCTTATTATACAATGAGTTCAATTCCTCAGCTCTCTGAAGACTACTAAAAGCCAAGTGGACAAAAAATAAATAAATAAATAAATAAATCTCATTTGAGTTCAAATCTTGGCAGATAGGATTGCTGCATACTCTTCTTTTTTTCTTTTTTTAAATTTTTATACATAACATAATAGCCAATTTCTCTGCAAAATCCTCCACAAAGGTATTTGTTCCTTTAGGCAGACAGAAGCAACATGCTTTGTGATTACCTAATAAATCCAAATTCTCAACTGTTTTATAAAAGCTGCAAACTAGACACTTCAGACAAAAATTAAATATGGTTACAAGGTCTCTATTTGCAATAGATCTCTATTCCTCCCCATTCTATATTTCCATCCTAATTATGAATTTTTTAAACAGTTTTCTTGAAATGGCATAAATAAAAACAGTTACCTTTACACCAAAATCTTTCATATTATATTCTCATCATTTTATTGGAAAAATTAGTATTTGAACCTAAGAAGCAATTTGTTATCATGCTACGATTCTCCTTATTTGACTGAGTACTTACGTGTTATTGCATTGTCAACCAACACAACCATGTTCATAACAATCCTTCAGTGAAGCAATGTTGCTATTTTTGCATGTGTTTTTTTTTGTTGTATTACAATGGCTTTTATAACCAAATCATGATATTTTATGCCTTAATTTTAAAATATACACTTGGGGAATTTGCTAGTGATGGAAGAAGCTGCAATAAAATTTCTTCAGAACACAGAATTTTGATGCAAAATCTCTAAAAGGAACAATGAGGAGATGCATTTGCTAGGTATAGGTAGCTAGTGCTGCCAAGGTTTGAGCAATATCAAGTCTCTGCAATTCACAATTCTGTTTTTTAAGTGAAAGCAGATCGCTGCGTACTCAAAAGCGAAAAAATACAGAAAAATTTTGACATGAATTTTATTTTTTAATTTATCATGTAATCCTTATTTAATACAATCAAAAGTCGTTAATACGGACGCCACCCATAATCCGGACTTCAAAGCTAAAATCTTTCTGCGCATGCGCGTAATACTTTACACATGCGCATAATACGTATAACGGACGGTATAAGCTAAGCTAAAATTATCTAATTACCTATTTCAGTTAATGTTGCAGATTGAGTTGTTCCTTAATCTTCGAATTGGATCCGGCTTATTATGTTTTGCAGACTGTTAGAGCAATTTTATAAAAGTAAGCTTGAACTTTCAATTATGTCAAACAGAATTTCCTGTTCTGGAGCTGCCAAAGGATCTACAAAGCGAAAAGCATGTTTCGATTTCCATCAAACAAAATATGGAATTGCTGCAAAAAATGGATAAAGGCATATCCTTTGTTTCTCTAACCATTCCGAAATCTGTTTTTTAATTTCACGTTGCTCTGCAGGGGAGAAGAACGTCGTGGCGCGCAATGAACTGGAAGTTGATCTGTCAACACTATCCTTACCTTCGTATTTCATCTCGATGTACTCTGTCTTTGATATGATTTAAATCAAATTCATTATAAATATCACGAATACACATCAAATAGTTTTCTGGTTGCAATTTTCTAATTTCGACCATGCGTAATGTATGCTTTACGCATGCACGCGTTGAAAGAAATATTTAATAAAGTAAACAATAAATATTAAATTTTTTTTGTAAATTTTGATACCCTTTAGATCATAATTGTTCTTTGTTTCATAAATTATGGTTTCATATTTTTAATTTTATAATTTCTGCATGCCATCTTACCAGATTTAAACTGATGACCTATAATCCGGAATCGCTAAAGTCCCGACGAGTCCGGATTAAATTCAAATTTGTATTTTAAATCGATAAACATGCTTTCTTTTCATATGTTAATTACAGACTTAACGACTAATATCGACTGTTTGGGGATCTTCCTAAACAAAAGGTGCAAAAACCACCAACTTGCACCTGATGAATAACTTTTACCTTTTCATCTGTAAAAAAATCACCAAATTGCACAAAGGTGGGTTTGTTAACATGCAAGTACTTTTTATTGGCTACAAATTAATTTCTGTTCAAGTGAGTGAATCTCATTATCGTATTTTCCTGAAAAAGAGGCAGATCTCATTTTTAGGGATTTATTATATTGATTTTTGCCCCAAAAGATGCAATAGGGTTGATTTTCAAGGAATATCTTGTCAAGGATTTCAAGGAATATATTGTCAAGGAATACCTTGCATCAAAACAATTGACATTTATAATACTCTATATTTATTCAAACATTCACATACAAGAATCTATATTTGTTCATTTATTCAAAAACACAAATTTATAATTATTCAAGTATGGTCATGTCATTTTCTTTTGGAACTTTATCACTGAACTGGCTTGAATTTCTTGAGAGTCCATTTCCTATAGAATCGCTAGTTCCAATATCTCATGTCTGGCAATAGCATGACGAGCTCCCCAAATATGCAATTTTTGTCCATTAGCATGTTCATAATGCATTGACACATCTGTCAATAATTATACCCTATGAGTTCTTCACTCAAGTCCCAATCTCTTGCAGTTAGCTTCACAAAGTTTCCATGCCAATGTTTCTCTTTTCTATTTTTAATGTAGTCACTGATTACTTTGGCCAGATACTCCTTGAATGGCTTGTTTATCACAATATCAAGAATCTGAAAATAAGCAGTCATTCCTGCAAGAATCATTACTTGATCTATTTCTTTTTGCGCAAATTCTTTATTCCTTTAGTGCATCACTAGTTGAATCTCAAACTTCTTTGACCACATTGTAAAACAAGTGACAATGCTAAATCAACCCATTTTCTTACTGTTGCTTAAATGCATAGATTTATTCATTTTGAAGGAAAGGTGAACAAGTGACTTAAGAACATAAATGTCTAAACCACATTCAAATTTATATTCCTCACACTTAGTGATGAGTACAAGTAGGGCTTCTTTTTGTCCAGATGAATTGACAAAATACAAGGTGCATCCATAAAGCAATCATACAAATTAAAAGACCTAAAGATAAAATAAAAATGTGAAAGAATAAATGTAAGTTAAGAAAAAGTGACATCTCAATTCTTGTTAAAGCCAGTTTAAACTGGTTATTTTGTCATCTGCATATCAAAACCCCACAGGTATTTTCATTTATAGAAAAGACATGGTACGAAAACAATTGCTTCATGACGGAACATTATAGCAATAAATTTTGTTACAAATTAGGTAAATCTGCTACCAAAACATTAGTGATGATTCGAACAGTACATGGTGATGCTTCATTACCAAGAATACTAGAGTATGAGTGGTACAACAGCTTGAAATGTGGGTGCAAAAGCACTGAAGATTAACTAAAGATAGGGTTGCCTTCAACTTCAAAGAAAGAGGAAAATTTGGAGAAAATTAATTCTTTGTTAAAAGCTGACAGGCATGTAACAACCCAGACAGACTTGGGATATGCAAAGAAATCCTCTGATTTCATATTTTATAGGTTAATTTTAATTGAAAATAAGGAAAGTTTGTGCTTGATTCCTGCTTCTAATTTTGACAAAACAGTAAAAAGAATACAGAAAAGTTTGCTGTGAAGATTTGCAGACTACTGCAAGACAGGACACTTTCTTATAGTGTATCACAGGGAAAGACGAGACCTGGTGTCTACAATATGAACTAGAAACAAAAAGACAAGTGCACAGTAGAAAGGACCGTCTGCTTCCATGCAAAAAACAACACAAAAAAGCATAGAAGTAAAAAATTAAAGTCTAAGGTAATGCTGATCGCATTTTTTTATTACATAAGATTTATTCGCTATAAATTTGTCTCTGAAATTAATTTATCAGTATTTTCACAAACAGGATGCCCCTCAACTTCAAAGAACGAGGAAAGTGTAGAGAAAATTTGTTCTTTGGTAAAAGCTGATACATGTGTAACAATTCAGCAACTTTCACATGCGCTTGGGATAAGCTAAGAAAGCTGTAAGTTAATTTCAATCAAAAATCTGAAAATTAGGAATATTTGCGCTCAGTTTGTGCCTTGGGTTTTTATAGAACAGCAAAAAGAAGATAGAAAAGCATGCTGTGAAAACAAAACAACAATTTCTAATGTGCATTTTTTATGTGTAGTTTTCTTTCAAGTGTATCATAGCATTAAATTACAATATGACCTAGAAATAAAAAAACTAAATGCAGAGGGAGAGGACTTTTTTATTACATAGGGCAATCAATTATAAACGAGCCTTTATTGGCTGAGCATAGATATTGGTACTTGTATGTGTTTAGGCAGATGAAGTTGTTAGGTGGGGTTGCCTAGAGTAAGGGAACCACATCATCTGGCTTGTCCCATGATTTATTTAGAAGCCCTTATGATGAGTGACAGGAGTACCGCAGACTGCATGCTGAGTTCGGGGAAGCTATCCGTCCATGGTCAAGAATGAAGATTTAGTGCAACGAATTCAAGCAAGGCTG